TATAGCGAATAAACTGTGATAATGTGAGAAATGTTGAAGGTGTCTGAATAAATTTTGGTTTGATTGTATCTATTTGATAAATTAAGTTAACCAACTAACATTATACATACTATTTTGGTTTCTGTACCCAATATTTAAAAAATGTACAAATGCAATAAAAAATATTGGTATCGGTACTCTGTATCGGCAAGTACAAAAATAAAGGTATCGGGCGAGTACTGGAAAAAGTGGTATCGGTGCATCCCTAATAATAATGTGTTACTGTTACTATATATTACTTAAATATATTTTATAATAAACATAATCTTGCAGATTCTGTCTGGGCCTAGCTATATTAAATTATTTTTATTTCAAATATATTAATATTAGTCATTATTATAATGAAAACAATATTAATCTCAGTAAAATAATAATAATTATTACTATTATTATATGTATTTTTATAAGAAATAACCCTGTAGATTCTGTCTGGGCCTAGCTGTATTAAATTAAATTTAATTAAATGCATTTTTTATTATTATTATTATTATTATTATTATTTAAATACATTTAGCAAAAATAATAATTGTTGTTTATTAATAATAATAATAATAATAATAATAATAATAATAGTCATTCTTGTTGTTTGGATATTCCATTAATACACATGAAAGGTACTTACTTTTTTTTTCCCAACAGTAAACAATTAAACTTTGCGTCACACCCAAAACCTTACAAGATTATTGCATTTTTTTCTTATTCGCTTTGCATTTAAAATACTGTACAGCAGTCCCTTCCACTGATAGCTGCACAAACGCACCTAGCATTGCACTGTGTAGACCATCCCAGCACTGTTGTTTGTTTGACTCTCTGACGACGCGTCATTCTGTGTGTGCAAATAATGGGTTGAGCAGCTTAAAATGAATCTCAGCATTTGCTGCTGCAACACCTTTGACTAGGAAGACTAAAGACGGCGTAATTGTATAGACAAAAAATGCAATAAAGAAAAACCTGTAACTTAATTTCAAAACCTCGAATTTAAAAGGCAGTATCACATAGCCAAGCCATTAGTGAATTATTCACAACGGCTCTTGTTACCACACAGATAGGGTGCTGTTGGTAGTTACAGCTGCTTACTAGTGACCTGCATGACATATTCTTGTATCAATAGCTTTGACAACAGTTACTGTTTTAACTGTGTATCCTTTAGGTGCTACATGTGTGAAGCTCGGACATACAGCAGAGCTTTAGTGCCCCAGGAGTTTGCTCTGTGGTTGATTATTAATGGTGACCAGGGTTAATTGTGTGTCATCAGACTCCTCCTCTGTCATCACCCAGTTTTGGTGTTTAGATCCGTCCTCATATGTCGCTAGGCAGCCAGCATTTTCCCTCCGGTTGTCACGGTAGCAGATGTGTATGGGCCCATTGACGTCAAAGCCCAGGTCCAACAGCAGACTCATGCTTCATCAGACCAGGGATGCTGCGTCATTAGGCTCAGGATCATATCAATATGGACGTGAAACATGACTCTTGAGCTTAAGTGAGCATGAGATGAGTCTTACATAGGTGTCTCAAACCCAAACTACTGTGTCATAAAACCATATTAAATGTTACATTTAACATTAGATGATGTGTTTAAATCATCTTGGTATTATCATAATGATTTGTTTGATTCATATTGTAGCGTTTTGCTAATCCAAACAAAGGCTTGTTCATCCTTCTCTGGAGCTTTCGTAATGAAGTTTCCCACTGCTTTTCAATCAACAGCCTGTTGTCAAGGTAACCACTCCATTAATTCTCATCCTTTCCTGATAATGTGTTCCAGGGCTCCAGAGATCATCCTGGGCTTACCCTTCTGTGAGGCCATAGACATGTGGTCACTGGGCTGCGTCATCGCTGAGCTCTTCTTGGGCTGGCCGCTTTATCCAGGAGCACTGGAGTATGACCAGGTAAGATCAGCCAGTGATCTCGGATAATGACCCACTTTGTTGCGTCGGGGCGACACTAATGGGCAGCATTTTGGAGGATGACATCATTTGCTATTTTTCAGAGCAAGTCTTTGTGATGAGTTTCTTCTCATCGTTAGTAGCAGCAGGATTGTGCAAAACTATGCATTTTCAAAATCTTGAATTCAGCATCTTAACACAAGTCGTGTTGCAAAGCTCAAACTGTAAAACAGGTAATGCACAGCATGCTAGTTAGAGATTGACCAATAGTGGGTTTTGGACAGCTGAGTTTATCTAGATTATTTTTTTTCTAGTAACCGCCTCAGAAAATTATTTCATAAAATTGTAAAAAAAAAAATATATATATATATATATATGTGGGATAAAATTAACTTTATTATTTCTTACATCTATCTTAAACAAAATAGTGAACTAAATATAAAAAAATGACAACAACTGGGTATTATTCGATCTGCGGGGCATTTTTACGAGTACGAGTACAGGAGCTCAGTATCGGGCCCGATACCGGTACCGGTATCGGTGCATCCCTACTAAATACTATATTATATTATATTATTAGTTTACATATTACTTATTTCCTTATATAATGAATTTATTTTAATATATAATAATGAATGAAAAGAAATCTTAAAAAAAAAATTTATAATAAGCTAAAATAAAACCAAAATGTCTTTTTGTTTTATTAGTCCAGGATGATCTCTTAAAATAAAATATATAATTTAATGTTATAATATATATGTATATATATGTGTGTGTGTGTGTGTGTGTATGAATATATATATATATATATATATATATATATATATATGGAAATAAGTAATATGTAAACTAATAATATAATTTATTATTTAGAATCTAGATATACCTAGTTGACAATTGTGAATCTTGGTGCAGGTAGATAACTTAGTGAATTTATGCTAATTTAAATGCACATTTTTTTTATTAAACAATCTGGCTAGTATTTTTAGCCATCAGTAACAGTGTATTGTGGTATTTAATAGATTTCTCCACCAACAATTGCAAAATATGCACCAAAAAAAACAAAAAAGTCTGCAGATTCTGTAATGGACTAGTTTTATTTATCAGGTTTGTAAACTCAATACTTAAAGCGAATTTCTTCACATAACATGACAGATGACTCACACATATGAAAAAAGTGTGAGCGCGTTTACCATCATGGACCAGTGCTGCCGATAAACGAGATGTCTGAGGTGGTGTAAATGGCGCGTATGACAGTAGCAAAACTAGCCGGCTATGTCAGAATAGGCTGGTTTGGGTTTGCTGACCACAGACTCCGGGCCGCCTACCTGTGCCAGCAATGGGTCCAGTTCCACTCCACACAGCAGAATGTATTTATAACCGAAAGCCCCACTGACGCATACATACTCTCTCTGCACTATCAGCCGGTTCTCACTTCAGCGCGCTCTCTGTGTTTGTGCAGCGCTTTGGCAACCCGATCATGTCACTCTAACACCCCTAAGATGCCATAAACACTGCTTGTTTAACACGGCGGTGTTGAGCCTCAGTGCTTGTAAAAGGAGAGGTGGCGTCATAGTCGAGAGAGGAAGAGACGGAGAGGAATGAGAGCAAGCAGCCAAAGAGGGCTTTGTAGTGGCTTGTGTTTTCACTGGTAGAGGCCCACTATGACACAGTCTTTCTGAGAAGCAACAGATGCACGCTTGAAGGCAAACGTCTGCAGAGTTCACTGACCAGTAATGCTTGGTTTCCCAAGGCAACAAGAACAATGGTGTTTTTACACGGAGACTCATGCATTGGTGGGGTCGAACTGCTCCTGCCTTCCCTAAAAAGACAGCGCTGTTGTTAACCAAACACTGTTTAATGCCTTTGTCCTGTTATTTGCGTTATTAAGTCATTGCTTGTATTTATAAAAGGATGCTATGGCAAACAAATCACAACACTCAAGCAGCTGATTAGATTTTTTATTCTTAATTTAAGTCATAGGTAGATAAAAAAGGAGAAATGTAGTGTAATGGTTAAAGATCTGAGGTGATAACCAAAGGGTCTGTAACTACGAACCAAAGTCCAGTTAGACAAGTTATTGAAATCTATTAAAATGAAAAACAAGGCTGTCTTAAGGTCATTGATCATTTCTGGATATGCGTTTTCTGTGTTTTGTTGATTGAATAATCAAAACCGAGGGCAATATTTGTCACCTGAATTGATTTTTACAGACAGTTTTATTATCTAACTGTAAACACAGTGTGTGTTGTTGTCTATTTATTTTAAATCCTTTTTTAAATGCAGGTTTTGTCTATTTATTTGTATCAATGTTTCAATTATTTGAATCAAATTCTCTATGTGAGCTATTATGGCTGATAAAAATAAAATGAAATCTATATCAATTAACTATGAACAGTGCACAAGATACACTACCTTTCAAAAGTTTGGGTTATGTTAGATTGTTCTTTTTGAAAAAAAAGTCTTATATAGGCCTAACTGTTTTCTATTTCAATGTCTTAATGTTCAAAGTTACAACGTTCAAAGTCCACTTCAAAAGGAGATATTTTATTTAACAGAAACCACTTTTCAAAAACTACAACAAACGACTCGTTTGGACTACAACGCATATTTTCCGGGATTTGTGATATCACAAATATCGACGAATGAGACTAGACCTGGTTGAGCTGCACTAGAGAAGGCAACGAGTGTTATCACTATGTCGGAGACACGTTAGCTTTCCCAAGGCAGATGAACTTTAAAGTGGTTACAATCATCCGGGTTTAAATCCTGCTCAAATTGATTTGATATTGACGCAATATTTACACTGAAGCTCGCAGGTGGCTATGGTAAGGGGCGTGACATTTCCTGACCAGGTGCCAATCACAACACACCCTGGCCCAGCTAACCAATCACAGCACGTTTCGTATTTCAGAAGGCGGGCCTTCATTTGATACAGGAACTATTCGAGCCGTTCGTGCCAGACTGGTGAGAGAGGTGTTGCAATAATGTAAAATATATGAAAAATAATGTGTTTTTCGAACAACCTAGTATGAGAGCCTGTTCTAGTACACCCCCAAAACAAAATCAAGACTTTGTAAAAGAACATAATAGGACCCCTTTAAGTGTACGTAAACAGTTGGGAGAATATCAGATGTGTATCAGTAAATTGCATTCGTGCATTCAGTTTTAAAGGGACAGCGGTCTAATTTAGTTACTATTGTTTGTCATTAATGTTAATCATCAACAAAAGAAAGAGAAAATCACTCACTGCTCTTGACTGAATGGCTTTAGTAGCCCTAATAAGGATTAATCTAAATGTATTTATATAAATATAAATGTCTGCTTGAAAGAATGTGGTAAGCAAGTTGTTATAAAGAACGCATCTTATTTAACCATTGGCATTTCAGTGAAAGCAGGACCATGTTCTTGTTTCTTTATGAGAAGTGATTTTATTTCATTTTAATACAAAGGCATGGTCTATGTCACAGCAGTTAAATCTGTGTCTATCATGATAAAACCTTAAAATCAAACCTATATAATGAGTTTGGACATTTTAGAGAAATGCTTAAATGCATTACACCGTAACTAAACCCATTAGATTTAGTCAACTAAAACAAAAACAATTCAGATGACAAATATAAATATTAGTTTTAGTCAAAAGACTATGACTAAGACTAAATCAAAATTTGCTGTCAAAATTAACAGTTTCTGTTTCTGTTCAGTGTTCGAAAGCAAATACTGGTCCGAATTGACAGCTACATGTCAGCTATGAACAGCTCAGAGATGCTAGCCTGATACTAAACCCCTAAGTCTAGAATAATATGAAATATATTAAATGTTAAATGGGGGGCATTTCTACACCCAAGTTGTACATTTTTGGAGCATTTTCGTCACTTTCAGGATGATTTTTGTCATTTCCAGTGGCATTTTCCCTGATCCATGGTTCATTTCTGATGTAGTTGTCATTCGCTTCAAATTAAACATGGCGTTTCCTGACTAAGGTGAACTGTGCCCTTAAGCGAGACACTTGAACCCAAGTTGCTTTATGGAAACTGTCCATGTAATGAGGTGGACTATAAATTGATCTGGATTAAAAACATCAGCCAAATGGTAAACAACACATTTTGCCCAGAGTTGGCTTGACTGTTCGGTGTGAGAGGATTGACATCTGTTGTGGGCACAAAGAGTGGCCAGCATCTTGACTTGGCATCTTAACAAAGCCTTGAGTAGCGGCAGACCCCATACTGTGCTCTGTATTAAGAGTGAAACACTGGGCTTTCCAAGCCTAGCTGTCATGAAACTCAACTCAGGGCTTGAAATAACAACTGAAGTTATTTGCTTATTTTTATCTCTCTTTTTTGTGCATATTGTAGCAGTTTTTGCTGATTCATGTTGATTGATATCACTGTGTGGTTTGTAGCTTCTTGAAAACTTTTTTTTTTTTCTTTTCTTTTTTTCAACCTGAAGATGCACAATCACTGGTGACGTCAATGAATATTTGTTGCCTACAAATAAATTCAAGCCATTTTTATCTTTAGTAAGCACTAGGGTTATGGTACGAATGTACTTGTCAAGACAAAACCTTTCTGAATGGTTCATTGGTATTTTGGCACAGTTGTCCTGCTGCATACCACTTATAGGGACCTGCCTATTCTAGACCAGTCTTATCTCGCATTACTTCCTCTTGGAATAGTGGAAAAGTACTACACACGTTACCATCTTGTGGCATGCTTTGTGAATCACTCAAGAGATTCTTGTCAAGAATGGATGGATTTAGCTTTACTTGTCTTATCAGAAATGACAATGTTGAGATCCACTAATACTATAAACATCTCTGCAGATTCGTTACATCTCTCAAACTCAAGGGTTGCCAGGAGAGCAGCTTCTGAACGTGGGGACGAAGACGGCCCGATTCTTCATCAAGGAGTCTGATTCACCATACAGAGACTGGAGACTGAAGGCAAGGGTCCATTTCTCATCCACTTAACCAGACATTGCTGTCATAAACTTACAGCATAGCTCTCTGGATCGAGTTACTGTCTGCTCCACATAAAGTTTTGAGGTAAAGTTCTTATGTAATGACTCCAAATGTGCTTCCTGTTTCTGCAGACGACTGAAGAACATGAGACAGAAACGGGACTGAAGTCCAAAGAGGCGAGGAAGTACATTTTCAGCTGTCTACATGACATTGGACATGTACGTTTTTGCTTGCAAATCATCATGAGGGGAAAAAAATGTTGAGAAATTGAGATTATTATTATTATTATTGCTGCTGCTGCTGTTATTACGATATAGCATTAATATTAATAACTATTAATAATAATAATGATTATATTAATGATGCTATATATAATAGTTAACAATAATAATAATATTAATGACATGCATTAATAATATTAACACTTATTATTATAGAGAATAATAATGATTCTAATTATAAATAATATATGGTTATATTATAATATAATATTTTTGATTATATTTATTAATGTTATTTTTATTATAATAATAATTATTATTAATAATAACAATATTAACTTTTTTTGGTAAAAAATTATCCAAAATAAATTTTTAAACGAGTACATAACCAGCCAGTGTTCAAAGCTATCGCCTTTAGCTTGATTCACAACGGTACGCTTTTAATAAAGTTTTCTAATTTGAGTGGTATAGGTAGGTTTTCGTGGGAAATAAGAGCATGGCGCTGCGTCATTATGTCATGTCTGAAAACATAAAGAAGTTGTCCCAGCTAGTATGCTATATCACACGTGAGGATGCTGCAGGTGACGGATCGTTTAAAGCCTTTTCTCACAGCAGCTGGAATAAATGGCGGATTGTAGTCCAGAAAGGTCAAAACGACAATCATCAGTGACTTGAGATTCACCCGTAGTCAAAGCCAAAAAAATTCGTACTGAGAAGTGGCTACAGAAAAATATAATGACTGAAATTAGATTATATTCCAGTTTTAAATGTGCATCTGATTAGATACGTGGGATTACTCTGTACTAAAAAATATTTATTTCAAAGAGAACGAGTTGTAAGGAACTTTAATTTGCTTTTTGGGTTAGAACAATTTCTTTATATGAAATTTGAATGGTATGGCAATTAGAGATTAGACTGTACAGAAATTGAAATCTACAGGTAACGCTAATACACACTAAATACACGCACTCACGCAATGCTCATGCAACGTCAACAATTTGAAAACGAAGTATAACAAAAATAATAATTGGCACCGCAAGATGTGATATGAGCTAACTGATCATTAGATTTAATCACCATTGATAGCGCAATTTATTGTAATGTTTTTTTCCTCAGTTGATCAGAACAAAAGTGGCAGTTGGGACTTGCTTGTTCAGATGACATTCTCCAGTGAAAACTCTTATTTGGGTCATACTTTAAAGATGTAGAATCTGTGAATACAAAGTGCAGTATCTGCAGACTGACAGCCACATTAAATTCATCCGCGCTGGAGCCGTGCCGGTGCACAACCCACGCAAGGAAGATAATTCCGCAAATAGCTGCAATTGAAGGTTTTCGAACAGAGATGGCGACAAAGAGGCAAAACTTACGGACTGACGCTTTAATGATAATTTATATACAATAATATAATTATATTGTGAATACAGTATTGTTTTATATTGTGTGTATATAAAATAATGATATGTTGTTGTTATATTATTATTGTTATAACTATGTAAATACTATTATATAAAAAATAATGATATTAATAAAAACAAACAATAATAATAATTGTAATTTATTGATATTATTTTGTTGTTTTATGCAGTAATAATATTAATAATGATAATAATTGTATTTTTTATTTGTGTATTCATTTATCAGGTGAATCTAATGCTCAACATGGAGGGCTGTGACCAGTTGGCGGAGAAAGCTGACAGGAGAGAATTCGTGGACTTGTTAAAGATGATGCTGATGATTGATGCCGATCAGAGAATCGCCCCTTCAGATGCACTTACCCACCCTTTTGTCACTATGCAGCACCTGATGGATTTCCCCCATTGCAATCAGTATGTCCAGACATTTTTAATGCCAGTTTCACTGACTGTTTTGTCTATTATGTGTGGTCATTCTCAAGGAATGTGTCTCCAATAGTGTCCAGTCTTGTTTCCACATCATGGACGTGTGTCACACAAGAACCAGCATGTACAATACTCTCAACCGCAACAAAGCACCCCCACTTATGAAGCCTGTGACGCTTCCAAGTGCTCCAAATATCACTGTCGCCTTCAACAAAATGCTGTCTGTCCACTCTCAGGTAAAAGCGCACACTCTGAAAAGACTTGGGGTTTAAGTGCAAGCAAGAAGACAACAGATTGTTCCTGATCGTTGATCTATTTACCTTTCCATTTTAGACCCTGGCGCCATCTGCTCCACCTGTGGTGCATCCAGGAATTCCCATCCAGACAGGAAGCGCCCAGTTTGGGTGTAACGATTCCTTTCAGCAGGCGCTCATTCTATGCCCTCCTGCTCTTCAAGGTAATGGGATGTGCATAATAATTTGAACTAGGGCTGCATGATTTAGGGAAAAAAAATTGTATTGGAATTTTTCTAAAAATTGCAATTTAGAATGTTATTTAAAAAAAAAAAGTTTGTTGTACTTTGTAGGGCTGCACAATTTGGCCTAAGACTTTGATTATGTAAGTCGATTTGATTATATTTCTAAAAATATAGTGATTACGATTTAAAATGTGATTTAAAAAAAAAAGTTTGTATTTTGTAGGGCTGCACAATTTGGCCTAAAACTTTGTGTGATATATATATATATATATATATATATATATATACA